TTGCACCAAAAAATAAAAAGCATCGTCGAGAAGTTGTGCTAAAGTGACGTCAGACAATTCTGCGATCTTAGACCCTCCGGTTTTAAGAAAAAGAGCAATGTTCTTCCAAGAATAACGATCATAGTTTACGCGATATCCTACGACAAAAAAATTGTTTAGAGAGGTAAAATAAGAGAAAGCGATAAACAACCATTATAATAGTAGCATTAACTTTAATAAGATAGTGAAACAATTTACTATATTCTAGGTGTCCCAGAAGTGGTGAACCATTTCTCGTAGACAGAAAAAAAGACTAAAACTGAGTCAAAATGTTTTTTTCCATTTTGCTAGATTCGCAATAGTTACTGAAATCGTAGTTACCAAATATCCGCGAATAAGCATCGGGCTATCTTATGCCAATAAGACAGCCCAGTGCGCTTTGCGCGCTTACGATATTATTCGTAGCAACATATGGGAACAGCTAATATTACAGCATATACTATGACATATACAATGTAATCGTGCTTAACGCGCCGGGCTGTCTTACGCGTGTACGACAGAAATGATACACCAATTCTGGAACACACTGTATATATACATATATATAATGTATATAATAAATAAAAACCTCATAATCACATTACCTAAGTGGTCCACGACAATGGTAGTCTGATTTTCATGAAGTAGGGATAAAAACAGTATACTATCTGGTGTTAGGATATGATAATTGGTGGCAAGAACTTGTGTGTGTAATAATTTTTTAACGGTTATAGGTATCCACCATTTTTGTTTGCACAGCATTTTGACAGTGGAATTAACGTCAAAACAGTCTATAATAATTGCTGACTGTATATTATTGTGTCGGTCTACTTGTACAACAGGATAACCACTTTGTGCTGTCCATGAAGTTATCATATTTTTGATATCTGACGATTTTATGTATGAAACATCCTTATATAAAGAATAGGTCTCAAAGTTTGTATTCCATAACTTATCAAGAAGTGACAATTTGGTGTACGTGTTATTTGATGTATTATTCCTGATAAGGAGTATAATATAATTATAATACAAAATATAAGAATAATGCTTGCTGTAAAGTTTAAAATAAAATATTTAATGTTTTTAAGGTATGATAGCTTTACTAATGTATAATGTGAAAAACTATTAATTAAAAATTGTCGAAAGTTTTTGTACTCCAATGATTTATATATACTCACGTGTTATAATATAAGTGTACGGCTTCTTGAAATAGAGAAGTATATAGGAAATTTTGTTGAAAGACGGTATTCAGCATATATAAAGTACTGAATGCTACAACATAATTCATAATGTTACAGGTTTGAAATTTTATTAAAAACATAATTATAATAAATAATACGTTTACAAATTGAAGCTTATTTAACTCTGACACACATAAAAATTTAAATTTAATATTGTTATTTATATATATTTCATAATGTTAGGTTTTATGTTTTCTATCTGTTTGTATAATTCTTAGTAAACACAAAATACCAGTAAGGTAATAATTGTTATAATTTCCTACTCAACAATGTAATTGTGATGTTACACGCTTTGTACGTAGCAGTTATATTGATATGAGTGAAAAATTGTACCATTAATGTTATGTTACGTTTTACTTTGTGTTTACTGGAATTACAGTAACACTATAGTAATACTTCGATTCTTTGACCTACATATTCACACAATATCATCAAGCTTTCTATAAGAGTTTGTTTTCTCTGATTTGTACTACAAGTACAAATACAATTTACGATATTTATAAATTTTTATTGTTTGTTTACATATAAAAGTACCAGAAATATTATATTACGTATTATATTTGTTAGATTGAAAATTGGTAATCAATTTGGATTGTATCATATTTCAAACTACATGAGATATAAAAGTGCAAGCTTCCAATAAAAGTAAGGCACAAAGTTTTAAGTACAATTAACACAGTTTTATTTTGTAGTAACAATTATAAAGTCTGTCGCAATAAAGCGACACATGTTTCAGACGTTGGAAAAAGCAAACTGCAACCAAACTCCAAAAGTGTTCACTTACAATAAACATAGTAAAGATAATAGAGTAGCTGCAAAGTTTTACAGTATTTTTAGGATATTTACATTATTTTTAAAAGATATAGAGTAAGATCTGATACTTCTTGGTCTATCATTTTGAAAACGTTGAGTTAAAGAAATAAGAGTATTCAATAAATTTTTGGTTCTTTACCTTTTTCTCGCCACAGTTTAGTAAGAGTTGAATTGTGTGATATGAGTGAATTTTCTCGAAATGGAGATTCATATGTAATTGCTTCTGTATAATCAAGAAATATCCGTCGTGTTTGAACCACAAATGATTTTAGTAAAGATTTATTGTAATACTATCAAGAAAACAGAGTAAGGTAAAATATATTTTGATGATGAGCACATACTTAAGCATCTCAGGTAGTATGTAAGTAATGTAATAGTGTAATAAATTTCCTGTGTTTTCACTTATCTTTTTAATCAAGAATATCACGAAAAGCTATATTAGTAAAGTGAT